ATGGGGAGAACGGGGAGGAGGACAAGTGGGCGCTAGAGTCCCTGGCGATAGAGGGATGGAGCACGTTCGCCTCGCCGGGCGTGCTGGTACGGCTGTTGTGTGCTGTAGCGCCGACGCTGAAGGAGTTCGTGTGGAAGGGGCACCTCCTAGGCCCCGTCCTTCTCCCCCCACCTCCCTCCTCTTTTCTGCATCCGGCGAACGATGACAGCGACTGCGACAACAGCAACGACAGCGACGGCAAGCTACCGGACTTTCCCCACCTGCGGAGCGTAGTCCTCGACCGCGCCTCGCCGGACTGTACGCTCCTCCTCCAGCACCTCGTAGGGGAGAACACGAGGGTGAGCGCACTGGCGCTCGATAGCGCGACGTCCTCCACGTCTTCGTTCCTCCGCTCAAGAGGGTACGTGAGCTCGCTCACGTCGTTCGCATGGGCCAACACTCGCGCGGCGGAAGGAAGCGAAGGCGAAGAGAGTGTCCTAGCGTTCCTGAAGGAGAACGCGCAGATTGAGAAGTTCGAGGTGACGGCAGGTGTTGACGCAGGGTGGGCCGAAGGGGCGCTCCTGCCCCTCCTGCGGTCCTTCCAGTCGTTGACTTCGCTCAAAATGGTGTTTTCGGCCGAGGACGTTCCTGAAAGCAGCTTATCCGCTCTTGCGGCCCTCTCGAACCTCCGCACGCTCTGCATCGCAGCGGGCCCTGCGTATCCAGCCAGCCCGAGCTGGTACCCGGAGCATGAGGTGATGGGCAGGGTGCTCGCTCCGATGAAGGAGCTGAGGAGGTTGGTGGTTATGAGGGATACGTATGAGGTGAAGGCGCACGCGCTCGCGCCACGGAGGGAGGGAGGGGGCGGGTATTATAGGGTGAGGACGGTGCCTGAGGGTGTGGAAGTGGAGGAGTGGTTGACCCCCGCCGAAGTTGAGGTGTACCGAGGTACTGGTGCGGGGGGTGAAGGGATTTGCCTTGATATCCGCCTGGACGACGCTAGCTATGCTCCCAGCCTTGGACTTGGTTCTGGCGTCTC